CTCCGCTTTCCAAGGTCACCCTTGTTTTGTTTCATGCTTCTCTGTCACAATAAGGAGATGTCTCTGTCTTCGTCATTGATGACCCAACCATTTACCTTGGAAGTTCATCTATGGTGGTTTCAAACTCTATTTCAAGAATGTGACTCTCATGTGGTTTATGCCCACATTCGCTGGCCCTTAATGGATTTTCTGCTGACATGCATCTATAGAGTCACCCACCGTCTCTGTGTGAGTGTTGCACAGTCCTTTGCTCCTAAACACTGGCTTTGCTTTCTTCTGCCCTCTCATTCCAGAGTCTCACTGTCTTACAAACGGCTTCCTGAAACTACAGGAAAGATGTGACTGTTCTTCTTCTGGTGGTAACCAGCATCACCACCTTTTCACTGTGAGCTCCTAAGAAATAATGTTAGGACTTGAGTTGACTTTTGATGCGTCCTTGACCTTTGTATCACGTAACATATCTGAAGTAGCATGGGATAAAGATTATGGGCTTTAATTATCATTTGAATCACTTTGAATGAGTTGTCTAAACTCTCGGAAACTCAGTCTTCTCAAATCTCAAGAATTTGAATCTTGCTGTGGAGACTACAACCAACATGTGTGTCAAGTAGCAAAGAGTGGCTGTTTTTATTGGGTGTTTTGAGTTCATCTTCCTCTTTTCCAGAATCTCTGTTTCCTCAGACTGATGGATGCATGGCAAGTACCCTTTGCCTTGTTATTATTTCTAATTATTTCACTGTGTGGGACCCCTTGCCTAAGTTATTATTTCTAATTTTTCTTTCACTGTGCTGCCACTTTTAATTGAAACTCTCATTGCAAAAAGTGAGAGCTTCCCATCTGTGACATTTGAGCCATTTGCTGCATCCTCTAGCTTTTAAAAACAGTGTGTGAATGTGGTCCATCTCTCAGTTGTCCACTTTAAGGTAATAAGTCAGTGCAGTGTCCCAACTAGGAATGCTATTGCCTCTCTTTCTTTGGTTGTTTACAAGAAACCATCCATGATTGAGTTAGAAGCAACAAGAAGTACAAAGTGTTAAAGGAATGGGACAGAACCAAGTGATTCCAAGAAACGTATAGTCCACTGACGCTGACACGTGCTGTGACTTGTTACCTCTGTGACGTCTTACCATCTGTGCCTCCTTGGTTACATGGATTGAATGTAGCCCACTTTTAGTCTGTCGGTATTTCTCTTTTGTCTTTTTAGAGTTCCCTTGAGCCTTCTTCTGGCAAACAAACATCCTTTTATAAGCAAAGTAACAGAAGCTGTATGTTCCTTGTTGTGTAGATGGGCGGAGTGTATACATGAAGAGTATCACTGCCAAAAAAGGGAATTATGAAGACCTGTTGTGTACAGAGTACTTAGAAGTTAACCATGTGTTGAAAATGTGCAACAAAAACTTATTTCAAGCAAAAGACAAGATCAGAGTGGCAGAAAAAGTCAAGCTTACTCTAAGCCTATTCACTGTACAGTGAGTTTCTGGCCTACCCTGGTTTGAAGTCACTTCAGTGGTGGTGGTGGTGGTGGCACACAGTCCTGTACGAAAGAGAGAAGCTACAGTTCAGGATTGCAGAGTAAAGTCTGTTTTACAGAAGAAGAAACACTGCAACTGATTTTAATAATTCTGCTGGGATTGAGAAGCAGAGACTCTTCCAAATGTATATGTTGTCCCATATTACGCTAAATGATATAGATAAATGAGACTATTTACTGTAGACTCAGGGTCATAATTCAGAGTCATTATAAGCTACACCTCTCTCAAAAGCATCTGATACTTGTGAAAAAGTTGCACATCAGTGATTTGCTCTGACATCTAAATAGAAACTCACAAAGGTTCTCTGTCATGGACCTCATTCAGAAGAAAAAAAAAAAAGCCTCAAAGGACCATATCTAGAGCATTGCATAGCCCCAGATTGGTTATTAACTATCATAGTGTCAGGGCTGTTGTAGTTAGTGTAGCCAGATGGGAAGCCAATCAAGTTCAATCGATTGAACCTCAGATACAGCATGAAGCAAAGCTCATATTTTCAAATCAGATGGGAAGCCAAATTTCACAGGGTACTGTCATCAGTAGGACCACCCATTGTACTTAGGCTCCCACGTGCTGCACAGGTAGTTATTTCAGGAAACCCAGCAACTATGGAGGAGATGTTTGCCTACAAGAACATTAGTACGTGGGTGTTTTATCCCAGGATCCTAACTAATTTTGAAGTCATTTTTGTCAGTAGACTCTGGTCAATCTTCTGGCCCTAAAAATTACATGAATAGCCTTACAGAAATGTAAAGAGCCCCAAATATGCCGGGTTAATTAATATTTTGCTAAATTCTTCATAATTTGTAGTGGAGTTTAATATGATTATAACATTTGAAAGTATGAGCTTTGCTTCATGCTGTATCTGTAGGTTCAATCGATTGACCTTGAGTAAATTATTCACCACTTTGTGAAAATTCAGTAGAACTGAAAGTTTCTATCGGATCCATAAAGCTGTCTATTGCAAAGGAATGGCTGTGTAGTGGTTGCAGAGGATGGTTTTTCTAATGTGGCCCGCACTGAATGTGCAAGGAATACAAATGCGATGTAAATTTTACATTTTGCTTTCCATTAACAAAAAATTTATTTATGTACACATCAGGAAAAGAAAATGGCTTTGAGTAAGAATCGGCGTGTTGATGACTTTAATCTCTAGGTGGGAATATATTCCAGTTCTAGCATAAAAATGCCATTACTGCAGAGAGAGATCTTACAGTCTTACAATGATTATCTTTATTGCTTGGAGATAACATTTTAGCAAATGAGATTTAGTTAACCTTCTAATAAAAAGGGCTATCACAATTTGAGAGAAAATTCATATCCTAAAATATTTTAAAACAAAAAGTGTGTTTACTTTTTTCTCTACTTGAACCTAACTCATATAATTCACCGGAACAGATGGTACGGAAGTTGTGGGCTGTGTGAAATAGGTGTGTTATACTTTTAGTCAAGATAATTTATAAAAATGCTACCTACCCCAAATAGTAACACAATCATAGACTTAAAGGCTTTTATATAGTCTGGCTGACTCAGCTAATCTTATGTTTCCTCTAAAAAAAATCACTGCCCAAGTTAAATTCATCTCTTACAGTCTCTGCTTGACACTCTAGCTTGACACTCTAGTCATGTGAGTGCTACTATCTCCAAGTACTTTTAGTCACTGGATCATAACTAAATGTGTGAATCACTTTCCAGTTGGCTTTGTTATGGTTAAATAAAATTTCATTTTCAGATTGTATTTCCAGATGTCTCTGGTCATCAGAGCATCCTTCCTTAATGCCCTGGCTAAAACCATAGCTCCTGTTAGCTTGAGTGTTTCTGTAATGTGGGCTGCTTTACTCAGAACAAGCCCCATTCTTCTTTCACATTTTTTTCCCTCAAAACTAAACATTCAGTGCTTCCTGCTTCCATGAGTTGCATGAGCATTATCTGGCATGCTTTCACCAGCCTTCACATTTTTCTCTAGATACACCCCAACTCGTCCATCTCCCTCTGTAAATCCCGTGCCCAAAATTTGCCACTGCATTCCAGCAGCAGTTAGTTGGGTGTTCAGAGACCAGATGGATTCAGGAACTGACACTCAGAACAACGGTTCTTAACCATTTGGGACACGCCCCCCTTTTGAGAATCTAAGCTCTGGAATCTCTCCACAGGAAAATGCTTATGTAAGTGGATATACTGGTTTCCATGCAATGCCAGAGGATTCCTGGGGCTTGCTGTGTTCATTCATAAACTGCATACCTTCTGGGATAGTGGATCAAGGACCCTAACTCTGTTGTGTTGAGGCTGCACACAGGAATGATAAAGGGAACGATTTAATAGCCACATTTAATGTACCTGGGCCTGATATATAAGACAGAGACTTTGGGAGATCTGCAACTGAGGGTTTTATATTTTAAGTAGGACATGTTTTAGAGGTCAGATTTTTGAAACTGCTTTTCAATTACAATTGCTTATTTGAATTTTTCTCAGAATCCGATTTCATAAAAAAAGTATTTAGTTGGCTTTTTTCCCGACTTGTTCAGACATGTTAGTCCTTTTAAAATAAAGCGCTCATGAGATTTTAAAAATAGCCCACCAAGCCTCCTGCCCAGCTGGCTTCTACCTTACTGGCATTTGTTGGATGAAGAGTTTTTCGGTGGCTTGATGTGGAAATGACTCGAACCTAATGGAAAGTAAAACAGACATATGTTTGGACCACCAGTCCTATGTAATTTTTGAAAATGTTTGTTTATAAAATTTATGGCGTCTTTGAACATGAGGAAACGACAAAGGGTGGGGGGAGTGTGTCCGTTTCTGAATGAGCCTTTCAATCCAATAATTGGACAAAACCATTAAAAAGAAGTGCTCAGTCCTCTGACTTGGTGTGCTTAGTCTTTGTGTTTCTTCCTCTTTGTGTTTCTTCCTCTTTTCTGTCATCTATCTCATTATTGTGTCTACCTTCTAACTGCATTCGTATCGGCTTATTCACACACCTGTAGTTGGCATCCCTGTGAGAACATTCTATGAGTGGTTTCGGAGATGGGGGAGCACTGGGGCCTCTCGAAACTACTGAGGATCTTGGGGACATTGGAGGGAGGGCAGCTCGACCAGGCCTGGTGAAGTAGGTGTCCCATGATGAGTTTTTCCGGGCGGTCTGAGATAGTGTGGGCCTCAGCTTCTTCGGACGGGGACGGAGAACTTCTTTCTGTTTCAGCCTGATGGTGAATTCAAAACCAGAGACCGATGTGTCGGAACGGCTGGTCAGATTTTTAAAAGAGTGGTGGACTTCCCAAACGCGTGGCACCCACCTTTGGATTTTACTGACATAACAATTAGGTGGGAGCCTTTGAAGTGGCAGACCGGAGGACCTTTTTTAATTTGCGGGGAATAAGGGCGGACAGCAGACTCATACCGTTTGTACACTTATTTGCCACTCCTCTCTTCCTCTTCCCCCTCCTCTTCACCTCAGTGATCTTGTTCTCCTTGCAGGTTACGGCCACACCGTGCCCCTGTCCGATGGGGGCAAGGCCTTTTGCATCATCTACTCAGTCATTGGCATCCCCTTCACCCTCCTGTTCCTGACGGCTGTGGTCCAGCGCATCACTGTGCACGTCACTCGCCGGCCCGTCCTCTACTTCCACCTCCGCTGGGGCTTCTCCAAGCAGGTGGTGGCCGCCGTCCACGCCGTGCTCCTTGGGTTTGTCACCGTGTCCTGTTTCTTCTTCGTCCCGGCAGCTGTCTTCTCTGTGCTGGAGGATGACTGGAACTTCCTCGAATCCTTTTATTTCTGTTTTATTTCCCTGAGCACCATTGGCCTGGGGGATTATGTTCCTGGAGAAGGCTACAATCAAAAATTCAGAGAGCTCTATAAGATTGGGATCACGTGTGAGTATTGAGGCTGACAAGCTGCTCCTTCTGTCTCTGATTTGGCCTTTCAGGCTGCACCTCGCCTGCCAGTGAGTGGTCATTCCTAATGCTTTCTCCCCATTGATAAGGTTTCTGAATTTACCACCTTTCTGTAATTGTTTAACTTTAGCATTCTCTTCAAACATTCTTTATTCACAAATCTTATGAGTCATTTTTCCCAACTGATCGGTAAAATTACTGACTAATCAGCATTATAAATTACATTATAAAAGTGTCATGCAGAATGTACTTGGTAAGCAACTTTTAATTAAAAAAAAAAAAAGGGCTGCTCTACTTTATTAAATATTTTAAGCCCAAGAAAACTAGGCCTTGAATAGAGCCTGTTACTATCGATCGTGTTCTTTAATTTACCAAGAAAATCTTAAAAGAGCTGCTTATCTCATTTGTCCATCTGGGTCTCTTTCTGAGAATCTAGCCTTTGTTAACTGTTTTCAGATTTTATATGTGAAAAATAAAACATGCATTAAAATTCAGGTAGCATGCATTTCATAATTTTTAAACAATTTTTTTACAAATTTCAATATAATACAATAGAAAACTTATACGTCCATTTTCAAGAAACTGTTTACTTTTGTGTAAGCCTTTCCTATCTTTTTCAAGATGTATGGAATTGCAGTTATGACGTCTATGCAGCTTTCATTTCCTCCTTCTCAAGCACTTTTCTACTCATGACTCAGCTCAGGTCATGTCTTCTAGGAAATCATAGTAGATACTCAGGCAGTCAGATGCTCTGTCCTGGCCCTGTCTTGTACTCTTAACCCCACAAAATGGTTAGTTGAACTCTGTGTATTTTAACAATTCTATTAAACCATGGGCTCATACAGAACAATGACTACTCATAAATGTCTGGCACCATGCAAATTCAAAAGATTATTTGCCAAATGGTTGTGAGAATGATTTTACATTTCTTTACTGTAAGAATTGTTTTTGGAGTTCACATATTTCACCAGATGGTTATACCATAATCCAACCACATCTTGATTGTTGACTATTTAGATTTCTTCTAATTGTGGGGCATTGTAAATAACACTGCAGGAAATATTATATGTTTGTGCTTTTTCTATGTTGATATTCTTCCAAGAAATGGGTTTGCCAGGGCAAAGTGAGCACACCTTTTTGTGACTCATAGAGCATACTGACCTGGTGCTTTCCAAAGGGTGTTGCAAGCTTCCATTGTCACCAGCATTATCTGGGTGTGACAGTTTCAGCACTCCTGGGGTGGTGTTGCCAGTAGCATTATAGATGTTTCTGGTATATGTGAATATGGTCACAAAATAAACATTATTATTAACTTTCTCTTCATATAGTAGGTGATTATTTTATTTTGTTTTTCATGACTTAGGGAGGTAGAATGTTTCTGTAATTACATTTGCTGGCATTTCTCTGCACATTTTTCTTTGTTTGTACTTTTCTCTTGTGTAAATTTTACCTAACCCTCTAACTTCTCAGTTTTTTGTCTACTAAATCCTTGCATAACATGTTATCACTTGTTGCAATGTGGATCACTTAAAAAACAGTATACCTAGAATTAGCTTATGTTTTGCATGTTAAGAACTGAATATGTAACAAATGAATGTTTCAAAGGTATATTCGTTGTGAGTGGGATAAAAATTCCACAGCTTTTGCCTGAAACCCCATGAGTATTTTTGTCATCACTCAAGAGTTTGACTAAATATTGAGAAAGAAAAAGGAACTGATTTGTCAATTAGACTGACTAACAATGTCATTGTTGTTTCTTAATGGCAGGAGAACACATTGCATGCACTATATTATTATCAAAATCTATAGTCACAATTCTGAAGATATTAAAACTTAACATTCTCGAGATAATCACCCTTCTTCTCCCATTATGCTGCCAATTCTAACTTCCCTAATGTATATATTTTCTGAAAAATATTTCTCAAACATTTTATTACTGGGGCATGAAATTTGAATTTTTGGTATTGGCATTTTTATCTTCACTTTTTTGTTCCTTTCCATGATAAATTTTTGTTTGGTGGAAACTGATTTTAAAAGTGTTGGAATGAACTTAAAATCATTATTTCCCACCACAAATTCCAAGGAATGGCGATGTATTCAAACCAACAGCTATCCTTTATTTCCAGAGGCAGAAACTGGTAGAGTTTATCCAGTGAATGGTCCACGTGCCCAGAAATGACTGTCAGATAATGGAGAACTTCAGTTTGCTGCCGGATTTAGGTGCAAGTGTAAATAGTCACACACCACATCAACACTAGTTTTTAAGGAATTTTGATTTGGTTGGAACTGCAATTTCTATTAAACTTCTTATTCTGTAGTAGAAATAGCACTAAGAGTGTCAAGTGCTTAAAATGGTGTCAGATTTTGTTCTGAACATCCCATGATACAACAAAAACTTTTCTAATATGCCCTGGCTTTTTGTGAGCCACTGATTATAAGGTAGATGTTTTAGCCCTCTTGCATGGACGGTCACACCTGAGTGAGTACAGTATGTTACCTGTCTTTAAAATTTTTTCCCCTCAAAAATTGCAGCCTGTGATTCTAAATCATCTAAGTTCATAGACAGTTAAGTTATTCATTTTTTTTTCCTTTTTGACAATGAGTAGTTCCTCCCTGAGCCATGGACTTCAAAACATTTCTAGACATTAGAACCTGGTAATCAATTTATTCTTTAGTAAAGTTTTCTGTGTTGGCATGAAGAGGAGAGGTAATCGCTCGTTACTTGATTTATCTATGACCAGAGCACACTGAGACACTGTCCTATTTCTCACACAGGTTACCTGATACTTGGCCTGATTGCCATGCTGGTAGTTCTGGAAACCTTCTGTGAACTCCATGAGCTGAAGAAATTCAGAAAAATGTTCTATGTGAAGAAGGACAAGGACGAAGATCAAGTGCACATCATAGAGCATGACCAGCTGTCCTTCTCTTCCATCACAGACCAAGCAGCTGGCATGAAAGAGGATCAGAAGCAGAGCGAGCCTTTTGTGGCCACTCCATCATCTGCCTGTGCGGATGGCTCTGCAAACCATTAGATGTTAGGCTTTGCCGTGTCAGCCTAGGGTGCCAGGGTCAGGGCGTGAGGAGAGGGGACTGGATTATGTTCATTTTTGTCAGAATGTAAAAGCCAAGGTGATACCATTTTTAGAAATATCTTCTGTTTGCAATAGTTTGATAAGCAAAAAAAAATGGAACAAAGGAAGTTTTGACCCTGGAGGGATATCTGATATGTGAAGAAATGGGATGTGCACCTATAATTCATATGTGACAAAATTAACTAGACTTTATATAGGAGAATACTTGAAGCGGTATGCGGCTGTGAATAAAAGCAGATTTTATACTTTTAAGTGGGGACTTTGGAGTTTGCATTTAAATCATTTAGCTGATGGCTAAAGAGCAACATTTATATTTAAAAGCAAAGAAAAAGCATAGACATGTGTTTTATAAATAGATTTATGTGTACTGGTTTGCATGTGCCCATCCAAAATGATTATTTTTGTAGATTCTAAGTTAGACCTACTATTTATAATGCATAGGTAACCATTAACTGTACATATAAAGTATAAATATGTTTATATCCTGTACATATGGTGTAGGTCACCAGATCCCAGTGAACTTCTCGCATCAAGACTGTAGATATTTTTTTCTTTTGATTTCTCTTTATACTAAAGAATCCAGAGTTGTTGCAATAAAGTAAGGGGAACAATAGACATAAGAGTGAATAACTATAGTATTCTGCTATAATAAATGTTTCTACCCACTTGCCGTAGAATGGTATCAGATGTCTAAAATGTTGATAAACACTTTTTTCAAAGTGGGTGAGTAATAAAGAATAGGATTTGTGAAAAGGTTAAGACATTTATTTTGATTTGCAGCCACCCGGTACTAAAGCACAGAACTTGAACATAAAATCCCCAAATGAACAGATTATGTTGCATTACTCTGATAATTTTAAGTTTAGAAATAAATAAAAATCACAGCTGGTTGCAATCCTATGCTTTCATATATCGCAAGTTTTCCTCTGTGTAGATTATGCATATGTGCTCCTTTATAGAAACTCTCAAGGTCACATTTAAATGATGTATGCAAGATACTCCGAGGGCTTAAAGAGGGAAAATGAGACCCTGTGTGACAACAAATGTTCAGTAACCCCCTAACCAAGTCTCACTCCCATGAGTAACAGCTGCCCAGGAGGTAGTGCTTGAGGGGTGGATAAAATTCAGTGCTCACCAAGCACTCAGGTTGCAGACAAAGTGTCTGCACAGCAGGTCACTCACTCAGTAATTTTCTGCTCTCTCTGTCATGTGCTGCCTTGAGCAAACTCTTACCAGCTGAAGGGGAAAAGGGAAAGCTTCCCCTCTACCCTCAAAAGTTTCACTGGAAAATCAACAAAAAGGTAGGTGAATAAGAAAAAAAAAAGCATACAAATAAATGTATTACCATGTGCAGGGGGAGAATCACAGAGTAATTGCCTCATCTCTCAATAGGAGACAGATGCTTATATGCCCTACTTCAGGGAAAGAGAGATGAGGAAGTGTGAGTGATCTTACAGCGATAGTAAGTCATTTTTTTTTTTTGAAGATGTGGGGTACAATTCAGGTTTAGGTATACAAATGTTCAATTTAATGGGCTTAAAGAACATACCACCGTATGGGGCAGAGTCTTGGGCTTGCAGATTGGACAGTCAAAAGTCTGCCCTGGTTGTTGACAGAGTTTAGTCTTTGTTCCTACAATCTTGGTTCAGTTAATGGAAATTCAGAGAAGGGACCAGAGGTCATTGTTTTCTTCTTTACCAAGACTGGACTTTAGACTGATAAGGGAACTTGAGCCTGTGCTTTGGGAGAAGTAGAGGGTGGGAGGGAGGAGGGGCTGACAACCATTCTACTTGATGGGTCTGTCTGGTTTTTGTGCAGATTGGAGGAAAGTCTCTTCTAGCCTCTGTTGATCTGTAAGAGCCTTTAATTCAAAATACTCATTATACAAGGGAGCCATATGTTTGGACAAAATCTCCCTGTAGCCCTTCAAAGCCCTGCGGTGCTCACTACTGTGTTATCCCTCAAACATTATGTCTCCTGACTCAGAGTAGGGTCTTTCTTTATTGTATAAAATCACATCTTGTCTTAGGGCCCAAAACCATAATTTGGGGTGGCATAACAATGTGTTGTCTCGATTCCTGTGGCACTTCGTAGCTCCAGTGCTGGTGAGCTGTCTTCCGCTGATCCCTTCCCGTGTCTCCAAATCTGGGTTATGCTGTCCCATAAGGACACCTCTTCCCTGCTGACCATGTCTCTGAGACGGTAGGCTGCTGTCACAAGGGGCAGACCACCAATGACGGAGTGGAATAGAGAGACTCCTTAGAGAACAGAGACATGCGTCATGGCCGTGAGTGGGTCTGCAAAGTGCATGGCAGAAAAACACTTAGCTTGGTGCAGAGTCCTGAGGTGCTGACGAGTATAAATCACAGAAACAGTGACTTGCACTTGGAGAGGGTCATTCTATTTCATGCAATGCAGGAAAAAATGGCTGGATTGCTCCAGCTGCTGAACTTTCACATGAGAGGGGTGTTCTGAGTCCAAAAAATGAAGAAGCACATGAAGAAAAAAATCTTAAATCAGACATCATTAATAAGTAATAGAGTGTGGTACTCAGTTTTAGGAGCTTGCATGAATCTGCAGAGAACCCATTAAACTTCAATGCCCTTCAAATCGGTGTTTTCCTTAATATGAAAGGTGTGGTAAAGTTGGAGTGAGTTTTGCTTTCCCAATCCCCACTCCATCAGGTAGGGAATGTAGGAGTGGATGTCTTCCCCGGGACTTCTTTTTGTTTTCAGTTGATGGTCAGGTGCTGCCTCGTGGTCCCCAAAGAGAAGCGAGCTGTGTCAACCGGAGGAACTCTGGGCCAGCCTCTCAGAGAACAGAAACAGAGTTTGCTGGGAGTGTGACGAGGAGGTGGAAGGTAGGGCAGTGTAGCTAAGTCAAGCTGGAACTGGCATTGGGAACCCTTTAGTGAGAGGTAAGAGTGGAAAGTTAGAGGAGAAGGTGAATCCTAGAGGATTCTGGGTGATGAGCACAAGTTGAATTCACCTGCTGAGCAGAAGCGTGCTAGATTGAATTTCTAAGAATCCTACAGAATGCCCTACTATGTGTGACCTTACACATTTACACGTGTCTGGTAGGAATGTTAATTTCAAAGCTGCAGATATGCTCGATGTAACATGGAGTCCACAACCTCCCACAAATCCAAGGATATACAGACCAAGGAATAGGAGCTGTCCCTAAAAGAATCTTTTAAAAGAGATTCCTCAAACAAATAAAGTGTGACCCAGATCACTCCATTTATGAGACTGGCTTCTTTCTATAGTAATCATGCTCTGAGGTGTTTATAAAGGATTTGTTCAGAAACTGAAGAGGAAGACAAGTGAGAGTCAAAAGGAAAGCAGAAATGTGGTATGACAAAAAAATGTGCGTGCGTGATTAGATTACTAAGATATGGGGTCACTTTTTTGTCTAAAAAACAGTTACACTCATACATTTAGTTACACCAGCCTTGTGAGCTTTTTTGAAAACGAATGAAGACGTGTTTACAGATCTGGAGCCCTCAAGATAACTGAAGTAGTCAATGCGAAAACCTCTATTTAATTATTTTTATTTTAAAGATGTAGGATACAATTCAGGATAGGTACATAAGTAGTCATTGTACAGGTGAAGTCTAGGCCTCCCTTTGGTCCACACTTTACCTGGTTTAGGATCACGTACCCTTATTGATGTTATGTGCCCTCCCTGGTAGTGTCTCGCTACTGCCAATTCCCTTCTTATAGTATTATGATAAATGTTCAGGGTCCACTTATGAGTGAGAACATGAGGTACTCAGTTCTTTGTTTCTGTGATAGATCACTGACTCTAAATCCATCTAAGTTGCTGTGAAGCCCATCATTTTGTCCTTCTTTATGGCTGCATAATATTCCATCGTATATATATCACATTTGTTTTTATCCAGTCCACTTTTGATGGGCAGTATGGTTAGTTCCATGCTTTTGCTATTGTGAATAGTGCTGCAATAAACATGCGTGTGCAGGTTATCTTTCTCGTAGAATGATTTGAGTTCCTCCGGGTACACTCACGGAAGGGGGATTGTCGGTTCGTACGGAAGGTCGATTTTTAGATCTTTTAGAAATCACCACACTGTTTTCCACAGAGGTTGTACTAGTTTACACTCCCACCAACAGGGTAGAAGCGTAAACTTTTTAACTCTTTAAAATCATCATATGTATACTGGCCTCTTGCTGAAAGCCTCAAATAAGAGTTCATTTTAAATTGGCAGAAGCAAGCTGGGCTTGGTGGCTTAGCCTGTAATCCCACGCCTTTGGGAGGATGAGGTAAGTGGATTGCCGGAGCCTGCGGGTTCGAGACCCACCTGGGCAGCGAGACCTCATCTCTACAATAAATCAAAAAATCAGCCGGGCGTGGTAGCGCACGCCTGTAATTCCAGCTACTTGGAAGGCTGAGGCGGAAGGATCGCTGGAGCCCAGCAGGTCGAGGCTGCAGTGGCCGGAAGCGGCCGCTGCACTC